TATATATTATCTATCTTGACTTTCGATTAAAGAAGACATTCTTTGCAATTATAACAAACTACAGCCCAGCCATCCAATGAGACCTAATGCATTAAGAGTAACCGTGGCCCTAGCATACAGTTGACAATTAAAAGTTCAATAGACAATGGCTTAGGCACATATCTTTAAATCAGTTTGGCATGCGACAATGGCTTAGGCAGCATTATTTTGGGGTTAGTTAGATCTCAATATATTGATGGAATTTCACAGAGTATTAGCTATTTCTGTGACAGCACTGGAACTAATTTGAAGATAGCTCTAAAGTCTCTATATATTTATAGTCAGGGAACGTCCAGTTATCAGCAGCAGCAACAACAACAGCAGCAGCTGGTGGGTGCTTGGCTTGACAATTGTCGCCCCCTGCCTTGCGGTGCACCCCTTGGCGCAATTTACAACACTTGCTGGCAGCACACACCAGCATTATCAGCACTGAACGATCTTATTTTGGGTACCATAGATACCAATGGGCTGATATGAGAGAAAATAATGGACGCGTAGACAGGCGTGGTTGTTGTCTCTCTGTCGTCTGTCTTCTGTCCTCTGTGCTCTACGCTCTCGTCCGCTTTCATATATAAAATGAATTTCAATTTTGAAAAATTGCCTTTCGAATGGCTGTGTGAAAAACGGAAATGCCATTTCCCCCGCCACCCCGATCAAATGCCACTCGTCACTCGCACACTTGGCCCTTTTGTTGTTTCCTCTCTGTCGCCCAGTCGAGCCGAGGAGCGTGCGCCCAAATTAGAAACCAAATGCAGAAGGCGTCAAGCCCTGGGGTGGGGGTTGACACTTTTAGTTTTGTGCGTTTTCCACATTATGTGCGGGTACACGTTCGCAGTTTTTCTATGAAAACTAACGGAACTGCCAACTGTGAACCGTAAGAAACAATGCCCGACTGCTTTGCATGCCCCGCTCAAGATGCACGCACACGAAATGTTGCACCGACCCCTACGAAACCATTCGGAATTAACATACATATATTCACCTAAAAGTTTTTATTGCTAAATCCTTATTATGTGGGAAACTATGTTTCGAATTTCGTATTTTAATTATCGGTTGCATGTCACCGCCTTTTCAATACCTTCATTACGAACGCCTCTTTTTGCTATAATTAAGCGCGCCTAAACATAAATACGCATACAGAAATACCGAAAAACTCTACCCAAAGCAGACAGCGAGACCGAGTTTTAATTGCTCCCCCAGTCGCCCATTGAAAACTATCTACCGAAAATTCAAGAGGTGCGCGCTCTGCGAGTGATAAACACAATTTTATTCAAATTACCCGGATGTTAACAATTTGCTGCGCGCAAGGTCTTTGAGCAGCGGCAGCAGCCGAACCAAAGTTGATTTATGTTTATAATTTGAAAACAAGGTGGCCCCAGTTCTGGCTCTCGGGAAGTTCTACCAATCGGGAGAATAATAATGCTCATGGGAATTCTTGAAAAACTGTACCACAAACCATTATTGTATCATGGAATCGTATGAATGGAAGCTAAGCCAAAGATGAAAGATGAGAGCTTGAAAATCCTGAAATAATATGATATGAAATGATTCCATATACTCGATAGTAAGAGAACTCTTGACTCTTGCCATATGCTATATGCTATATGCTATATGCTATATGCTATATGCTATATGCTATATGCTATATGCTATATGCTATATGCTATATGCCTAAGTAATATTTGTATATACAAATATAGAAACAAAGTTATTTCATATATGACTCAGAGTTTTTCTCCCTCGCTTTATAGCTCTCATCCCTACAACTGCTTCAAATCCTTGACAGCATTTTCGCCAAGTCATATTCCAACAAGCAGTCAGGTCTCCGTTGGCAACGGCTTCGAAGCAAATTGCAAGTCGAAGCAGCCGACGCACCCAACTCTGGATGCAAGCAACCCTTTCGACGTTAGCGACGAACACAAAAGCCTAAAAACAAATCAACAGCAACTTTTGCAATACGGCCCATTGAATGGCAGACTTTAACCCGATCCATGGGTCCATCCACACCCCATCTCAGCCACTCCACGCCACAGCATCAGATATACCCCWCATCGTGTTCTTCTTCTTCCTCGCTGAGCAAGGGATAACTACGTACAAACAATGAACTCATAACTCAAGTGACACTTTTTAACTTGACTGCATTTCATCATGTGGCACATGAGCGCTTCTTCTTCTTCTTCTTCATCGTATTCTTCTTCTTCTTGAGCTGCTGCTACTGCGTCTTCATCTGCCGTCTTGGACTCGAGTTTTGCTGCTTGCCGTTTGGTTCTTTGGTTTTGCATACCCTCACCGTGGGCATCATAATATACCAGAGAGTGTGAGATTGGCAATCTCGATATGATATTATCTGAATAAGATGTTTGCATAAATATTGGAGATATTCATTTGAAGCATGGATCCAAGCATTGATGGAAAATTGTTTCGAGTTACGAAAATGTACTTTGATACAGAACTGTTTATATTTTATTAAATTTTTAGTTTTAGTTAGTCAATAATTTAATCAAATAAAATTTCCATAGAGACTTATATCAAAGCAATTAAAAACCCAATTAAAATTGATCATACATGTACAGCATTTATCATCTAGAAATAAATGTTAAAACGGAAGGATTTTTCAATATACTTATGTATATAGCAGAACTTTATATTAATATTTTAGTTAAGATATAAAAGTCTAAAAATGTATAGATTGAAGAGTTTTTGCTCTAGCTAAATAGCTAGTTAAATTTATAA